GCTCGCGCATTTCTTGTTAACATGGCCCAATTTTCTCAAACAATTGCACATTTTAGGGAATTTTGATCAATTCCAACGAAATTAGAATTAAAAACACCGGGGGACAAGGGGAAAATATCCATCTTTGGAAAATCTTTCACCTCTTGACAAATGCATCCTCTGAAAGTGCCTAAAATTCTCAAATTCTTTGCGCGCCTTTCTTGTTACGGTAGGCCAATTTCCTCTATAAATTGTACATTTTAGGGAGTTTTCATCAATTCCGACGAAATTAGAATTAAAAACACAAAAATTTTGCGCGCTTGGCGAGCATTTTTTAGGGCTTTTTTAGTTTTATCCTTTTAAGTTATTTAAACACATAATAGTCCCAAACTCAAGAAAGACAAAATTAAGATAGATCATTTTAACCTAAAAAAGGGCCTCAATGTGTGCCCTTGTGCGGACAGGGGATGTGCCCCCCCCCCTCCGAAGCTGGAAACCTTGTTTTTGCAAAATAAATTGATGGAATTTGCTATTATTGGCCTAATCAATAAATTCCTCATCAACCGATATAACCTTAAACATTCTTGGAATTGACATAACATTACTGATGTCGTACATACCCTTCAGTGTGAAATGTGGCTCTCTTTGCAAGCACATCTAACATCTAAGGAAAGAAGAGCTTAGATTGGTACCAGATAAAATAATTTTGTTATCAACATTAATATGGTACATTATGCTAATTTTCATCTTTGTAAGCGCATAAGACAGTGCAAATTATTCCTGTGACAGTCTTTTGAAGTGTGTAAAGCTCCATTTTATCCCATACATAGTCAAAATATTGGGGGAGGGGGATGATACAATGGACCATCCCCCTTGTCAAATATTGGGGGATATACCCCCCACCCCCCGGATTTTGATCAAAATTATGAACAAATAGATTGTGGATATTTTCCAGTATTTTCCTAGAACCTGAGCTGGTAGAACCACTCGTTGCATCGGTTTACTATGAATTATTATCTATTGAGATGTAAACACTTAGATCAGTCAAGGTTACCATTATAATGAGCGTGACTGAGAATTCCGCTGGAAAATTGTCGATTCATTTTTATAGCCAGAGCAGACAATACGAAAATGACATAATCGTACTATGTTTAAAGCTAATGTATAGTTCACACGCATCAGTGGAAAATGTGGGGAATTTTAAAATTGTTATTTTGTGTAGTTATGAGTATGAGGTTTTTTTTTTCTTTTTTTCTTTTTTTATCGTGATGGTATTTTCTCTGTGACCTGTTTTGTTATTTCTTTCTATTTCGTATTTTAAATAGCACATTAAATAAATCAAATAAAAAAAAAACCCCACAAAATTTTAATTAATTAAATAAATGAATTGGACATTAAGGACAAAATACTGTAACCAACCCCGAAATGAAACACAGATAAAACAATTACGTTTTTGCAGACGCCTACGTACATTATTACTACATCCATGGATATGCCTATTTTTAGGTTACCGGCCAATGACGACGTAATATTTGTGCCTCTGTATTGCGAGGGAATATGTTCTGTTCAAATTAACAATTGTAGAAGATAATTACAAACTATATAAAGTTAAGCGATTAAAATTATGTATTACATATTTCAATTTATCTAACATGAATCGCTTGTAACATTTTATAGTCTTCAGTTTGCTATTCGAGTAAGGTGCGTAATTTAGGAGGGGCGCTAAAAATTAGGTCATTTACCGTATTTTCTATTAATACCTACTATATTTCAGCTGTAAATATTTGTTTTGATCAATAAATTCAGGGCGGTAATTTTCCACTATACTGACAGTGGTTTTACTAGAAAACATCAGTGCATACAGTATTGTGTTTCCCATTGAACAGTCAATACAATGATTAGTGATCTGTTAGTTATAACCCTGGATATTATTCAGGTCAGCATTAAATTCCAGCGTAACAGGTAATTTCACTGTCAGTCATAATTTCTCTTTACGCATGCTCGGTTCACTTTCATAACAACAACCAGTTGCATGCGTAATGTACAGCCAAAAAAAGAAAATCCCCGATGTCATTAGAAGGCGTTTAAAGCTATCGTACGATTTAAAAACAGGCATGGATAAACGAGGGGGATTTTTTTTGTTTTTGTGTAGAGTAGGTGAACGAATCAGATGAAGTGTAAAATACCAATAGTGTTTTTTTTTGTGAAGCAGGAAATATTCCTCGTACAGTTTACAATTGAAAACAATTTACAACTTACAAAGTTCTCAATTCAACTGCTGTATTTTATTTCATGTATTAGCTCATCATGGACAGTATATGCCTTCTTCAAATACTGACAGCTGTGCCACGTATATATATATAAAATAAATATATTATTATGTTCCTGAAACACGTCAACCCTCGTTTTCTGTTACCTGTTCTCACTCTTTATTCAGGAAACAAGCGAAGATTAAATAATAATAATATGATAATAATCAGGAGCGGATCCAGAAACAAATTGGACAGAGGCCATGCTACGTGCAAAGCACGGGAGTGGGGCTGGGGTGTGGGGTCGGTGTTTTAGATTCTTGCTTAGAAATGCTTGGGTGTGGGGTCGGTGTTTTAGATTCTTGCTTAGAAATGCTTGACCATAGACGTTAAAACGAAAAATAGCTTGTTTTGGAGTTTCGTGCGCCTCTTGTTCTCTCATTTTCTTTTTTTGGAGGGGGTGGGGGAGGCTATCCCCCATGCCACGATCATAACATTGCTTGCTTTATTCTACCAGAGACTGGCGACCTCGGTATCGGTCCATGCTGGCGATGAGCCTACGTCGAGCAACTATTGAATTCAACAACAACATTGTAAGACAGGGCGCCCCCCTTACAAACCTCTACTTCATCTTGAGTGGGTTGGCCATAATGTCTACCGACATATCACTTCATCGAAAGCAATATAAAGACAAGCTTGACGTTGGAATTGATATAAGGTAACTAAATTTGTCGTATCACCATGATCTTGATGCCCAAATAAAAATGTCTCTTCCGTTTATCACTTATACAAGTAATGATTATAGGTATGCTACTTTACATATTCATATAAAATGTATATGTCCTACTATAAACAAAATAAATAAATAACAAAAGTGCTTGAATAGGAACATGATGTTATAATCGTATCAAGCATAACAAAAGTATCTCTAGTGGTATTCGAACCTGCAGCTTCTCGTTATCAAGGCGAGTGTCCTACCGACAGACCACAGAGACCTATATAGGTGCAGATCTAACACTTACAAACTGACTTTATTATGATGGAATTATTGCTATTTGTTTATTGTTTACGAGGCAAAACCTAATTTGAATAATTTTAGGCCTACATATGAAGTTAAATTCTTTAGACTAAACCAAAACAGCCTATGTCCTTTTCTTGAAATATCGCAATATGCCTATAGACACATCTTCATATTCTACGTGGTAGGCCTATATCGTGACTGCAAAGTTCAATAGGGGATCGTTAGTGCAACGGGATTGTAACATATAGGCCCTAAGGGTTGTGGTCGTGAGGAAACTTTATTCATTTTAAAAATTAACATTATTTCCCGAACCATTGAATCATTCTTGAAATATGTGTGGGTTGGCTGGATATGAGGTCCTTATATGCTTGCTAACTGATATACAGTAATCATCATTGTTAATTATCATCACTTTGGTTATGGTCATGACAACAATTTTTATACACACTTACATAGAACACACATATTTTATAATATATATTTCTAAATTTATTTAAATTAATTTATAACTTAAATTATTATGTGTTATAAGTTATACAGATGATATATTTCGGAGTATTTTTCACATCCATATCCATTGTCACTTCACTACACATAAAAATATAAATAATTTTACAGGCCACCACCTAACAGACGATTTATGAAGAAAGTTACTAATACCGCTGTGAGGAGTGTATATGGCGCGGCCAACAGGTTTGATCTTTGCGTCGTTGGACAGGGAGACATCGCAGGTGAATGTGCATTCATTGCTCTATATATAATTTATTTTTGCCCAAATTATTATTATTATTATTATTATTATTATTAATCTTCCTAGTTGTGCAAATATTCTTGGAGAATCTAATTTGGTCTAGGCCTCCTATGTCCATTGCTTATAGACCCATCTTCATATTCTACATGGTATCGTGACCACAAGGTCCGCTAGGGGACCGATACTGTGGCGGAATTGCAACATGTAGGCCCTAAGAGCTGTGGTCATAAGAGGAAACTTTCCTTTTTCAAAAACAAATAACTATGTTTCGAATTTATATGCGTAATGCCATTGCCTCAGGCTTCATATTTTCCCCGAACTATTGAATTAAACCCAATTTGAAGAGATGCTTAACTTCTTGGAATGTGTGTGGGTTGGGTGGGAAATGGTTATTTAATCATTTAGAAGTATATTGTTATTTTAATAATATACTAAGAGCATGAATGTTTTAGTTTCTTGCATTAATGGATATGAGGTCCTTATGCTTCCTAACTGATATACAGTAATCATCATTGTCAATTTTCATCACTTTCATTATGGTCATGACATAGCAATTTTTCTCGTTCTTGTTCCCCATATTTGTTGTTTGAAATTGGCATAATAATAAAAGTGATAATGACCATAATAAAACACCACTGTGTGTACCCCTGAACCATGGATTAGGTCCCTAGGTCAAAATCATCATCACTACTAGCCTATTATTATTAATATTATTATTATTATTATTATTATTATTATTATTATTATTATTATTATTATTATTATTATTATTATTATTAGTATCGTCGTAGTCATAATCACCTATGTTATCGTCGCACCATTATCATAACCGATACCACCGTCACCATGCAGTGACGTCATCGTGAATGAGGGCTCAACAAAATCGTGACGAGATATTGTGGAACTGCTATTTAACCCCACTTCTCCTTCCTATTAATTTGCAGGTGATATTGAAGCTGTCTTGCGCCTTCCTACTCATATGCAGTCGATTCGATGTATCGAACGAGTTGAAGTGTACGAATTGGATATGAAGTACTACGAAAAGCTGATATACAGAAAGAACCAGTCTACACTGAACATAATGGAGCACTTGGCGGCTATAAAGATCGAGCATCGGTTGTCAAGGATACCTAGAGACGCTGATGTTAGTAAAGTTGAACATTATTATACTGTATAGGGAAACAGTACGGTTCAAGCTATAACTAGTTGTTATTTGAATGATGATATCGATATAAACAATGATAATCAATATTTAAAAAATAATGTTTACACATTTTAAAATCTCATTCAATTAGGTTTATAAACATTATCCTCATCATCATCTTCCTCATAATCATGACATCAATATCATAATCACCATCAACATCGTCATCATTATCATTATCGCCATCATATCTTCCTCCTTATCACGATCATCATCATTATCATTAAAATCATTCTTCTCATCATCACCATAATTATCTTTATCATCATCATCATCATCATTATCAACATCATGATCATCATCATGATCATCATCATGATCATCATCAGTATCAACATCATTATAATCATTATTATTATTATTATTATTTTTATTATATCCCAGTTATCTCCATTGTCACCACCCTCTATCGTTATCATTTGTTGTTATTATCATAATCATTATTTTTATCCTAAAATTATTATTAATACTTGTTTTTTTTTTGTTTTTTTTTTTATTAATGCTGCTTTTGTCTCTTCGTAGCAAGTGGCCACTATTGTTTCTTTCCTCGTGCCATTGTGTCGTCAAAAATATTTCCTTGAGTAAATAATAGTAATCATAATCAGTATTGCTTTAATACCACAATATTATTATTATTATTATTATTGTATTGCTATTGCTGTTGATGTTTATGCTTTTACAAATTATAATGAGTTGGTGTATGTTTTTTTAACAGGCCTTAATGTTTGAATGGGCCTCAGAAAAGCTACGGGAAAAGAATATGAACGACAAAATGCCAATACAAGAAGAAACTCCAAGCAACAAGTCCAACTTATGGATGACGGAGAAAGGACCCCTCCTAGATCCAACTGGGCCAGGGTCCCTTCTATATCACCTACGGAAGCTTGAGAAACAATTAGCAAGGAAGAGACGCCAAAGACGAGAGAGGGCTGCCAAAAGCGAAACTGATTTCCAAATCCAGAGGCTTAGGCCTACTCTAAAACCGTCCGAAGAATTAGGGAAACCGTTTGTATCAGAGAAAAGCTATCCGAGCGTAGAACAAAAACAAGATCAATTAAAACTGGGATTGAATTCAATGACGTTGTCATTTCTAAACTTACAGACAAACCTAGATCTGGAACTTCCTTCAATTCCATTAAGACCAGCACCCAATTCACTCCACCATCCAAGACCTGAAAAAGGTAAACTTAGACCTACTCTACAAAGTCAAGCCGTCAAGAACATCGATGAATTATCAGTGGTAACGGACCACTCCCACACAAGCCATGTTTCAGAAACACTCCCAGGACTTATAGGTCCAGATACTACGACACAGCACCAATCACTTCCTGTAGGAATGGATAGTTCAATGGATTCCTCAGAAGAAGTTTTAAATCAAGCGGATAATCGATTATCGGAAAGTTTCGATGCAACCAACCTATCGAATCCATGGGAGGACGACCAGAAGACTGAGCTAAAACTACTTTCAAGCTTAAGGTAAAAAACAACTGTTGTATGCCCGTATATAGTCATGATGTGCCTATATATGGTCATGAAATGATGTCATCATGACCATGTTGAGGCATGTCACACATTTTTGTAAAATAAAATTAGTACAAATGGAACACTCACGAATTAATGGAACACTCACGAATTAATGGAACACTCACGAATTAATTTCAGTTCGCATTAATTAGAATAACCATAGGCCCAAATCAAGCCATTTTTTAAAAATATCGCTACGTGATTTATATTTTGTAATCATTTGTGGGGTCATCCCACTTTCATTCATCAAATTTCAATTTCCATCACACAGTAACATCATTATTTTAAAAAAAAGCACACTATATGAAATATATAAATACACTGTACCGTAATTATAACGCGTCTGTATAAAATAAATCAATTAAATCAGCATATTGTTAAAAACAAGCTTTACTAATCTAGCATTTTCTCGTGGGCAAAACATTTTTATCTGTAATAATGAAATTTGTATTTTCATTATTTTAGCTTATATTTTATCTGTTTCAGGCTGACCCTCCACCTGTTTCTTATACACATCT